CACCTCACTGAAGCTGTTACGCCGCTGTGTACGCTGTGTCAGGTCGAACGCCCACACACGCATCAGGGCCTCCACCCACCTCGTCCACCAGCTCCTGGCAACTAGCCCTCACGGTCTCCAACAAGGCCCGAGGGAGCCGTGCGTGGAAGCAAACGTACAAACCCAGGTAAGCAGCACAGCCAGAGGAGCTTTTGGATGAGGACGCAGCCGCAGCAGCCGCTGCCGCGCCTTCCGCTGATACAACCGCGGCACCTGCCGCGGCAGGCGAAACGTGCGTCGGTACCAGCACCACCGCAAGCGAGCGCAGCCCTGCTCCCCCGCCGCCACGAGGCCCCATACTGCCGCCGACGCCAGAGCCCTGTGTGCCGGTGGAGGCGGCGGGTAGCAGCGACTGCGTCACCCGGGGGCTGGCGGTTCGCCACGTCGCCGCAGCAGCCATGCCGACGGCATTCATTTGTGTCAGCTGCAATTGAGGTTGGGAGGAAGTCCGCTGCAGCGGTGGCAGCATTGCCGCTGCGGCCGTGCCCGGCAGCGGCGTCGACGGTGCGTGTTGCAGCTGCTGCTGCAGCTTGTGTACCTCCTGCCGCTGGCTCAAAATACCCATAAGCAAGCACACGTCGCGGCAGGGCCGGTGGACGTCTTGCAATAACGAGCAGCAGTCCTCCACAACCGCCGGGTGGAGCCCGCCGCAGCCATCGCTTCCGACGGAGGCGCGGCTGCTGCCGTGCGCCGCACCGACGGCGCCGGGGCCGCTCGCACCGCCGCGGGAGTAGGCCGCGCCAGCGGCGGCGGCGGCAGCAGCAGCGGAGCACGCCTGAAGCAGCGTATGCTGCAGCGGGAAGGTGTGCGCCGTCACTGCGGCGGCGGGCGGCTGGAGAATACCCCCCTGCCAGGAGCTCAGCAGAGCGCTGGCGGGCGGACAGCCCGCGGCTGCCAGGAAGCTGCTGACGTTGCTGCAGTTGTTCGCTGCATTGGCTGACTTGGAGGCGCGCGTGTCGACGGCCCGCGCCCCGGAGCCAGCGGCGGCTTCGGGCCCCAACGGCAACGCCACCACTAATGGCCGAGTGGTCGTCGTGCCGCTGAGTGTACGGTAGCTGACGGCCAGGTCAGCCGCCGTCACTGCTGTGCCCGCAACCGTGCTTCCGCCGCTGGCGGCAGGGCCCATCAACGAGTCGGGGACTGCAACGGACTTGACGGAGTGGGGTCTGCGGCCCAACAGCCACGCGGCTGCGGGACGACCGCCCTGACTCTGCCCCAGTCCCAGTCCCAGCACTAGCCCCTGTTGCTGGAACATGAGTTGCTGAAGGGAGGGGCTGGCGCGAAGGGACGACTGCTGCTGCAGCTGTTGCTGCTGTGGCTGCTGTGGCTGCTGCTGCAGTTGTTGCTGCTGTGGCTGCTGTGGCTGCTGCTGCAGTTGTTGCTGCTGTGGCTGCTGTGGCTGCTGCTGCAGTTGTTGCTGCTGTGGCTGCTGTGGCTGCTGCTGCGAGGGAAGCGCTGTTTGCGGCACATGCTGTGCAGCTTGTTGTTGCCCCGTATCGTCCTGCTGCCCAGGGGCCTCCTGTGGCGGTGGCGCAGAGCTGATGGAGGAGGCCCTGACTGTATCGCGGGGCATAGCCCCCGAGTGGGACCCAGCCGCCAGCAAACTCAGCCGTCGGGATTTTCCCCCAAGTGTCCTCAAACTCCCCGGCCCCCCCGCTGCCGCCTCGCCCGCCCCACCGCCACCGCCACCGCCGCTCCCACCAACCGAGGGCATCGGGTCCAGCGGCGAGGCTCCGTTCAAGCTTTCCGCATTCCCGTACCCACTGCCGTACTGTGCGCGCGTCACGCCTCGGGAAGACGATGCTGACTGAGGCAGCGGTGAACCAGCGGCAGCGGCGCCAGGGAGAGCTGTAGCGCCAAGGAGGTAGCCCATACCGGCGGCCCCGTCAGGCGCTCCGCCTCCGTCGCCGGGCACGAGCACCGCCTTGACGGCGGTCTCCAGCACGAAGCGGCGCAGCACGTGGGCCGACATCGAATCACACAGCTCCGCCGCCAGGGCATGTAGACTGGGGGCGATGCACAGGCGGTGGGCTACCGCTGCCAGCCAGGGCACCTGATCTGGGTCAGCGCCCTGCACCATCACGGAGATGGTGAACGCGAGGGTGTCCAGGGAGGGCCCGTGGGCCAGCAGCGCAGCCGCAGCGGTGCTGGAGGCGGCAGGTCGTCCTGGGTAGGAGACCTGCAAGGCGGAAAAGGCTGAGACGCCGGAACCGAGCGGAGAGGCGTGGATGGTGCCCTTGCAGGCTCCGTAGGGTGATGCCGTTGAGGCGGATGTGATTGGGGCTTGGGTTGGGGCAGGGGTTGCGGCTATAGGAGGTGCGACAAGTGTGAGCCAGAGCGCTCCCACAGCGACACCGCAATGTAGGAGCGGGATGCAGGCTGCGGGGCGGCTTGGGGTGGCGGGGACGGCCATCTGCACAGGAATGGGCCAAGAGCGGTTTCGAAGGGGGATGTGGTAGGGGCCAGGTAGCAATGGTTGCCTAGGCGGGGAGGGTGACAGGAACGGCGGATGTAAGGACAGGGCCGGGGGGCATATCTTCACCCTGTGGCCGCTGCCCGGCAGACCCTGCCTTCCCCGGTATTTCGGGGCACCCTCACCTAGCCAACTTCTCAGTGGATCGCTCAGGTTCCGCACCCACCACCAGCATCCCACGGAATCTGCCGGATCGATGGCGGCCCAACTCCATTCCTGGTCAGCTCGTAGGTTAACTTTATTCCAGGTCACCACCGTCCATCGACTAGGGGCACTTTAACCTTCCACCATCGGAAGGATTTTTCGACCCTGACAGGTCTCGAGCCCGGAACCTCTGGGAGCATCAGAGCGTGCTTTACCAGTAGTGCCTGACCTATGGTACGTGGGTAGCTAAGGAATTGCATCAGGAATATTCTTGAGCCTGTTGTCTTGCAGCTCAGTATAAGCATACCATGTGCGTACATGATGGGTGGGGTGGGTACGAGCACAGGGGTGGCATGACACTGCACGAGCGGCCCTGGCGGCGAGGGGCCCCACCTTAGAGGCACACGCCTGAAGGACGATCAGCGCAGCTTCTCGGTCAACGCACATGGAGGCATTAACATCATCTGCTTTCGTGCAGGTGCTCTCAAGCAGGGCGTAGCAGGTGTGTTCGGGTTGCAACTCGCTCCGGGCAATACCGAAAAGCCTGCAAAGACAAGTCGTTGAATCATTCCTGCATTCCTGAAAGATTGCCCAGGACTAAGGTTTGTTGTTAAGACTTACGTTGCATGAAGCCCAGCCCGCTCTTGAAGGATGTTCAGCAAGCGGCGCATGCGGGCAAACCAACTACCTTCAAGCGCCAGTAACGGCTCCCGCAGACAGGAGAGAAGTCCCTAAGCCCATCCAGTAAAGTAATTGTGTCAGAAACTTCTCCCAAAACATGAAACCCTTCATACCAGCTAGCGAAAAGGGAGTTCACCTCGGCTTGCCCTCGCGGGCTCTGGGGCCTGTCCTCTAATACAGGGTTTTCAATGTTCTCCTTTACAGAGTATTCTGCCTCCACAGCGTCCTGTTGACATCGAAAGCATTTTTGCAAGAATGAAGTGACCATTTCAACGCTGATTCAAGCTCTGTGGCCTCCGCAAATGTCTCTCTTAATTATATGCTCGCAACATATCAATGTGGTTCAAGGGACCATTCCATGCTCGTTCGCACACATACACTTTGTCCGTCATTCTTCCACAGGGCCTCTACTGTAGCACCACTAAATTAAATACCCCGAGAAGTGTTCAGTCAAGCCATACTAGCTTGCGAAACAGCGGGCGCGATAACTGCACCGATCTTCTGCCCCTTGTGTGACGAAAGCGATTGAGAAGAGCCGTACAATAAGCCAGTGTGCATGGATCCCTTGCGTTTCTTCATGTGTAACTCGCTATAACAGTTGAGGACATCAAAAACGGAGGTTACATAGAGTTTCGAGTGAACATGGCTTCAGAACAATTACTAACATCTATTATGTTGCCTTCCCCACGGTGACTGACCAGGCTTGCCCTGGTGTTATTTTAGGAAGATTCCAAATGTGCATATCTTCACTGGGAGGCGGATCAGTAGGCGAAAATTATTGCAGCCGCGCACCAGCTCAGCACATATGATATGTGCATTTCATTAGACGCGGGAATATGTGTTGACAACGCAGTATCACAATAACTACTGTAAGGGATTTGTGTTCGTTACCGAGTACGTATGGTTTGTCTTTGATCGGTACGACTCTGTGTCGTGCAAGGCTTTGCCAGACTATTTAAGGCATTCCTACACCATTATTTGTAAGCTTAGTATTCTTCTCTTCCTTGTCTCTCAGTCAGCGATTGATGTCGGGCTCTGCAGATCGGGCAAGTTAGGAACTAATGCTTCCTCCAGTCGCCAACTGGAGCCAGTTCCTTTCATATGGTATCGAGTTATGGTTCAATCCTGCCTCGGTCCGTATTGGAGCTGTTTTCCCATCGTCACTGCTTTTGCACTTCGCGCCACCGCACGATCGTTTGTTTGCCGGCCCGTGTTGTTCAACTACTTATACCAGAAATGGAGGAAGAAGAGTGGCCTATCAGGCCCTTGGTAAAGCAACATTGTTTGCGTGTTGGATGAATGGATAACGGCTTGGGTACGAAAACAAAAACACTGCAATCTCCCGGTGCCTTGAACGCAGAAACCCAGAACGCATTCGTGGCTGTACAGCCGAGTTGCATCCTTCGTACCTTCCGTACCCTAAATCCTGCGCAGTACTTCATGGCAATTTTCCTTCGTGCACAACACAGTATTTTTTGTTTAGTGAGGGTTGCTTTGCACTTTGTACCTTAACCAATCGAGATAACGCCGATAATCGAACGGATATTTTACAACTTACAGCACCTTGCGGGCTCGGCACGCTCCCCTGCCGCATGCAAACATGCACGCAGCGTTGCACGTCCTTCGCGGAGGAGCAGCACTGCTGCTGCTGCTGCTGCTGCTGCAATTCCTCTGCACCCTAACTCCTTCAGCTATGCAACCGTCTCAACCGCCTCAACAACGATGTCTGCACCTCATGCAGAAAGGTCCTTCCAGACGTCGGCAACCGCAGTTTTGTGGTCTTTTACAGCAACCCAAAATTTTTTTTAACGGCACCAAATTTGGTCGTGTCAAAGACGTCATTGAATCAAACGGCCCTACGGGCCGCATATGAGGCCTTTACTGCCTTTGGATAACGTATGTGTCTGTGCGATGTACCAGTTTTACCGCTGGCTGCGAGGTTTGGGAGCTTTTTTACGGTCTTGGGAACATTGGTACGATCCGAGGGTGCGCCTAAGAGCTGCCGATGTCTGGTTCCTTCCATAACCCTCTGCAGCCAGCCTCCGTGCACCTGATGCTAAGGCGTATGACTGCCTTTGAGAGCCCACGCGAACCCCATCTGGAACGCTGTCGCCCTGCATATGCAGCAGATCAAGGGGTCCAGCGGTGCCGTCATGACAGGAATACTTTTGCATGCGGACTCTTAACGTCGATAATCCATGCTGCGGTTTAATCACTTGGACCCATACATACACATTTCATGTACCTTGCTGTCCAATAAGTGAGGAAAGACGCGCACCTTGCTTTGCCTGTGTCGTGCTAGGGGGATGGATGCCATCAGTGTATTTTTTTTCGTGGAGGCCGATCCTGAATCTGTTACGAGTTCCGTAATAAATATGCCATCCGTCCAATACGTTTATTACTGCCAGAATTTTTTTCCTGGGGGGGCAAGC